AGTCACAGATTTGGTAATGAACGGTATACGGAAAAAGATGTTTGTCGCTACGCGTCAAATGCTTTCCTTGTTATTGCACTTAATTTTGGCAACCGTCATCCTGCTATTCCAGTTGAACTGGAAAACTTTTTTCAGGCGCCAGAAAGTCTCCTGGGGTTTCAGTAACAATGCGAAGCCCGGCAAGGTATTAAGATTTCAATCAGTGGGATATTTGTTGTTTTTTTTGCATGCGTGAATTCTTGTAGCACAAGCTTTATTCGATACGGGGGTTGCTAAGAATTTTTTCAAGGGAGCAGCGTGCGAAGCTTAATCACTTTCTGGGAACGTCTAGCAAATGGTTTCAGGTAGTCTGACAGTCAGTGGGAAAAGTTTTTGTTTCATAGGGCTTCTGAAAATTTTCAGTTTTCCAAAACCTTCGTCGTTTGAAAGCACAGTTCACTGAACCTTCCAACAGACTTCAAAGTTTAACTTCGAGTAATTTTTCATGATTTCTAACCCAATTGGTCTGTTTGGTCTCACTACTATCAGAAGACTGTAAAAGTATGGCGCTGGGATAGTGAGCATTAGAGTTGGAAATCTGCAGTCTCTAAAAGGCTTTTTTCTTTGCAGGAGTTCCAGTCATATTTCCCCCCTGGCGTCTCGACCGGACGTACTACCGAAATATCTGGATAGCCAAGAAGATACGGAGACCAGTTTGCCTGCATCAGGAGAAAACTTGATTAAACAAGTGGAGACTACTTATTTTTTTTTTTAAAGTGTCGATCTGATTTGCTTCTGCGAACATTTACTCCTTTTTGACATAAAAATGATTTATACATTCTCTAGTAAAATTCTTTTAGCCATTCAGTTCAAAAAAGGAACTTTTTCTTTCGTTAAAAATCTATCCATTAAAATCACTTTTCAATGTAGGAGGAGGAAGAAGCGGTAGATGAAAATGAGATAGCTGCTTTATCATTACGATTACGCCATCGTAGGGAGTCAGCAGAGATCGCAAAAAAAAGATTTTGTGCTGATTCAAAGGTAAACAGTGCAAAAAATGGAACTGAAAACGGTCATCACGAGACAGATGTAGGTTTGCTTTTAGCGTATCTAAATTTGCAGAATTCTACTGTACTGAATTGACGTGACTGCGTCAAAACTAAATTAAAGATTTTTTTTTACAGAACAGCTGTGATGCACTGGAATCTCGGGAAAGCTCCTGTGAGTGCACCGAATGCTCCAGTTACAACTATTGCTCTCTTGGAATTTCGGAGCGGTAAGAAAATAATTTACTGTCATTACTACGACTACGGCCAAAATAGGCTGAAACAGATAAATGGAAATAAAATTTGCTGAAGCAATTGTTAATGAAGAAGCTGAGGAGCGGTGGAGCACTTTTTAAAAAATTTCAAGGCTGGTTGGAAAGGGCGAAGATTTTAGATGAAAAATTTTTGGATTCTTTTAGAAAACTGTGAAACTGTGCTCTCTTCTTGTTTCATATTACAGTGTTCTTTTGTCCCTGTAGCATCTTTCACTGAACTCTCTAACAACACCTTATGGTTGGAGTTTTGAATTCTTTATGATTTTTTATTTTTTGTGTTTATTAAGTTGTTTTAAACAAGACCGGGATTGTGCGTCGTCTAATACCAGATCTTTTCTTCATATAACGAAAGGAGAGCACGTTTGTCAAGCCTGTTACGACGAAATACGCAAACCGTGAGTTTTGTATTTTTCTTACCATACTCTTTAAAAGGTCAACTGGCTTGCCTATTTGTTACTAGTTTAAGAAAACCACCTGGCTAATAACATCACCACCTTTTGTACAGCATTTGACTGTTCTTACTAGAGTGAATGTTCTTACCATGTTTCCTTCATTATTTTTTTCCTTTTACTTGCTGGAATTACTGTTTCAGAGGAAGAGCTGTTAACGAACAGTACTTTGAATGGAGGAAGAAATGGACAACAGAAAGTCGTTGTTCTCCGAGCCTGCGTCTTTTTGTTCAAGACCAACTGTTGCCTTACTGGTTGCAGTGTAAATCATGTAAAAAATTCAGGTAAAAACTTCATGTTAACCGTTTCCCATAACCCTTTTTTAGTTCTGTAACAGTCGTTTTTGCTTTAACTTGATACCATTTTTTACTGAAAAATAGGCTTCTCCAAGGTAAGTTTTATTATATGTATCTTTTTTATTTTCTCAAGTAGCACTTGGCAGTGATCGCACACAACTTTTTTACATTTCCAAATTTATCTAGTGTGATGTTTCAGGATTTTACCGCAAAGTTTTAAGACCATAAAAAGAGAAGAAATAAAAAATTTTATATGTGGACAGTTTGCTGATTTGAATTGCAGTATGAAAAACGAATGTTGTGAGGTTCCAGAAGATGAGGTTTTGTTTGTTTTTTCGGTTTTCATTAATTTAGCCGTTTGTTGGAATTACTTTTAGATAGTCAATGAAGCTTTCAAAACTTCTTGGATTCTGACTGTTACTGCACCTCCGTTATTACACGACTCTCCAGTTCTGCATTATCTTCGTAATGAGTATTACTACGATGAAATTGGGATAAGTCCTGTCAGTGCTGTTTATGAAAGCGATCCTGAATGCGTCTCGCAGTCCTTCATGTGCCCTTTTAACATACCAGAAAAGCCATCAATGGCACTGTGTTTAAGACCAGATGTCATGGAGTATGACGAAATCCATGCCTTCCCTGAGTTTGTTGGGGAAC